TTATCAAGTGAATGGGAACTGAGGAAGTATGGCTGTAAAAGGAAGAAGGTGTGTTGGGGGGAGGTAGGGAAGGAATGGAGTTATAAAATGCCAGAGTTGAGCCTCTTTAGATGTTGAGGGAAAAGGACAGTAGAGAGGAAAATGCTAAAGATTGAGGAGAGAGGAGGGCTAAGAGATGGAGGGTGGCCCCTAAAGAACAGAAAAGATTGGTGCCCAGGGCATCTTGAGTGACAGAGCAGATATCTGTTGCTCAGAAAGAAGTGGATGAAAACAGGAACAGATGGTGGACCAGCTAAGAGTTCTCTGGCCATGCATGTTTCTTCTCAAGGAGGAGGAGAGGCCAATGGCTAATAATTGTTGTTGTCATGTGCCATCGAGTCAGACCTGACTCATAGCGACCCCTCCTTGGGTTTCCGAGGCAGTATCACTAAGGAGGTAGATTGCCCAACCTTCCTTCCAAGGAGTGGCTGGTGGGTTTGAACCGCTAGGCCTCTGGTTAGCAATCAAGTGTCTTAGGCACTATGCTACCAGAGCTCCTGGCTTATAATATTTAATATTTCTTCAGGCTAATAATTAGGGTGAAGAAATATATATTTAATCCTAAAATAACAACCTCAGTGCCCTTTGTGAACTCTAACCACCCAGTGTCCTAGCTCCCTTGAAAGGGAAGAGGTTTTACATGTCTTAATGTCTTTTATCCTTCAGAGTTGTGGAAAGTAAAAACTCAGCCTTACCAACAGGAACTATCGTTGTGGCTCCTTCGGGCTGGACAACACACTCCATTTCTGATGGGAAACAACTGGAGAAGCTGCCGACAGGGTGGCCAGACACATTACCACTGTCCTTGGTTCTGGGGACAGTTGGCATGACAGGGTGAGTTTCATGGGTACATTCTGAGTTTACAAAATGGTTTGTCCAGAACTTGGTCAACAGGAAGAGACTTGAGACATCATAGGGTCAGGGGCTGATTGGAGTAGAGGGTGGGACTAAGAAGACAAGGGTGGATTAGAGTTAGCTTTGAGACTGAAGGAAAGAAAGGGAAACTCAAATGAGAGGCACAAAGAGAAAGCAATGATGAGGAGCAACATGGGGTATAATCCTTTCTGAGCATCCCCTCCTGTTCCTGGCAGGCTCTTGCCTTCACTCTTCTCTGCCTCCACTTCGCAGTTTAACTTTCTCCTTCCTCACTTATTCCCTGTACACATCTGAGTTTTTGTGATCTAAAGGGAAATGAAGTTTATGTAAAGAGTTAAGATGGATTCCAAGTATGGTTGTATAGTCAATCAGCTTGGTACAGAGTTAAAATACTTAAGTGTCTCTTGGCCTTGTCTCCTGGTATTTATCCTGATACATTTATCCTGTATCCATTCTCCACTCCCCAACGGAACTTTAGACATCAAAGTTCCTTTTGTGTTCTGGAGAAGTAAGGCCACTGTCTTTTGGAGTCCCTAAAACTTTTCTAACCTAGAATTCATTTAGTTCTTTCCTTTTTTCTAAGTTGTGTGATCTTTCTCTTCCTTCTGCCCACCCTTCATCTTCCCTTTTTTACTTTTTAAAAGACTTTGAAAGAATGAAATAGAAATATGGACCTCTGAACAATGAGCCTCAAACAAAATAACTCCCCTACGTTCCAACTTACACTCCACTTAGTCTCCTCAGAATTGCCGCTGCCAAGAGATACCATTGTGAAATTAAGAGGATACTTGATACCTTCTT